AAATCCAGCGCTGCTTCCTTCCTCGTTAGGCTGGAAATATACTGATCCAGAAAGTTCTCCTGTACACATTTCAGGAATTCCTCCCCTTCCTTGCCCTTTACACTGTGTCTATGTGAGGATAATTGAAGTCCCCCATTATCACTACTCTATTGGTTTTGCATCTCTCCGAAATCTGCTGCAGATTTGCTCATCTCTCTCCTTCCCACTATTTGGAGGTCTATAGTAAATACCTAACAGAGTAACAGCTCCTTTTCTGCTCCTTAACTATAACCAAATAGATTCAGTTTTTGGACCCTCCAACACATCGTCCTTTTCCAGGACTGTGACCATGTCCCTAATGAGTATTGCCACCACTCCGCCTTTTTTCCCTTCCCTATTCCTCCTGAATATGTTGCAGCCAGGAATATTCAGCTCCCATTCCTGTCCTTGCTTGAGCCAAGTCTCTGTAATTGCCACTACATCATAGCCCCATGTGGTAACTTGAGCCGCAGCTCACCACGCTTATTGGTCACAATAATATTGTTTACACACATGAACTCCAATACCGGCTTAATCTACTCTACATTTCTCCTGTCTCTCTCCACTTTTTGCTGGACTATTCCTCATTTAATTTCTATTTGTCTCTCCTCGTCCACAATGTAACTCGTTTCCCTTCCCTGATGCTACATTCTGATCCCCATCCCCCCTCAAAATCAGTTTAAATGCTTCCCCACAGCATTTGTTATTCTTGTTGCAATGACATTGGTCCCAGACCTGCTGAGGTGGAACCCTTCCCTCGTAAACAGCTCCCATCTGCCCGTGAAGTGTTCCCAGTAGTTTAGAAACCTGACGCCCTCCTTCCTGCACCATTTCTCCAGCCAGACATTCATGTGTTTGATCTCCCAGTTTGGTATTCAATTGCATAAGGCGTTGGGAGTAATCCCGAGATCACCACCATTGAGATCCTGCTCTTTAGCTTCTTCCCAAGCTTCTGATATTCTCCCTGTAGGGTCTCAGCCCTTTTATCACCTACATCATGGATCCTAACATGGATCACAACTTCCAGATTTTCTCCTTTCCCCAGTAGCATATTTTACACCCGTTCCGTGACGTCCTGCACGCTGGCCGCAGGGAGGCAGCATACCAAGCGCGAGTTCCATCTTTGATGGCAGAAACGCCTGTCTATCCCTTTAACTTTTGTATCCCCAATAACAACAGCTTTGGCGATTTTCCCCTTGTCCCCCTGAACATACATTATCTATTGTCTTTTCTCGCCAGAGGCGTCCTCACCCGGTATCCAGTACCAAGAACCGATTTGTGAGGACCACACTCTTTGGGGATTTCTGTACTGCCTGTTCTTTATTTGCTCCACGTCGGATGGTTACCCACTCACCCTTCTTCTGAGCCCTCTGTGTAGCTGGGGTGACCACCTCCTGAACTCTCTGTGGCTCCTGAAAAGTTAAATTCTTCAGTCTCCTGTATCCTATATAGTAACTGTAGCCTCTCCTCAATCTCAGTGACCCTGAGCTCAAGCTCAAGCAGCCGGAGGCACTTCCTACACACGTGTTTGTCCAGAACACATGAACCATCCTGGAGGTCCCACATGGCACACAATGTGATGGAATGGGTCTCAGTTGCCCTGCCAAGTTTTCAGACATTTTGTAATATATCTCAACAGTTTCAAGGTTAGTAGGTAAAAACAAGTAATTTCACACCTAGATGTAATGAAGGCGTGTATGAGGGTTTCAGCGGTCTAGGGTGAGGCAGTGGCGCAGTGTTGCGGAGGTGGGGGAAGGCAGAACAGGTCATGGCATGGATGTTGGGGAGCAAGAACAGTTCAGGGTCAAACAAGATGCCTCGGTTCTGGCCCGGCTCAGTGAGGCGCAGAGGGCACCCGTGGATCCTGATGCTGTCAGTGCCTGAGGTGCTGACGGGAGCCAATCAGGAGCCTCGGTCTTGCTGATCTTCAATTGAAGTTCTCATCGAGGACTCGATGTCTGACAGACATTCTGTCAGGACAGCAGTGGGTCCTGGAGCCATGGGTGGAGGCAGAGAGGTAGAGTTGGGTGTCAGTAGATAACAAAACGAAAGTAAAACAGCATCATAAGCACCTATCTTGCATTTAACCCAGTCTCTGAAAACTACCAATACTTTGAGAAGGTCCCTCCTCCTCATTACCCCTCCCCATTCCACCGTCCTGGTCAACAGCAGTTTTCAACTAATCTCCATAAGCTTTGCAACAGGGAATTCAAAATATTATACTGATGATTGCTTTAGAATTGTAACCCTGGCATTTCATACAGCACCTAATCATGTCATCGAAATGTCTCAAAGCACTTCCCAAAATGAAATGTAAAATGCAGTGACTGTTTCTGTAGGTAAATATTCTGCCCTCTTATGGTGTATCACACACACCAGTGACTTGTGAATACCTGAAAAAGCTGTCAGTGAAAGAGTGAGTGATTTAGCCAATAAAACCACTCCATCATGGTAGATTATGGTATCACCAAAACCTCTAGAAAGAGTTAATCATCTAGCACCCTTTTCTTAATCTCGCATTGTTAGTTATGTTCACATGTACAATATACACAAAATTGGGGTCTAGATTTACTTTGTATGTAGTATTTTAGATTCTTCTAAATTTCAAATTCTTAAATAGTCTTAACTCTGAATTTTCTGTAAGAATTCAATAACTTGCCAAATTCTGGATGCTCTAAAAACTACATAGAGTAAATCTAGACCAAGGTGGAATTTCTAGTGTTTGCTTTAAATATCTGTTTCATGGCAGCAAGAACAGACTGTTTGGGTGGGCAGAGGAAAAGATTTTGTTATGAGACTCAGGGTGTGAATTACAGGTTTATTCCACTACACATTCTGACATCAGAATGTGCAGTGCCTCTCTTTTTATAGACATTACAAGGATTCAGCAGGCTATGTGCATATATACTCTAATTACACAATGAACTTTAAAAAAATACACCAGCCATGACAGCAGCTTTTGCAATAAGCATCAATCATCTTAGTAAAGGGAATAATCCAGGACAGCCAACTCAAGCCAAGAGTAAGTTTCCAGATTTCATTTTGAAATTGGAAAAAAAATCCTCCCTCTTTACATCCCCTTGAATTATCCTTATTATCCAACCGAGTAGATCTCAGGCCTTGCCACCACATGGCAGGAACTGAGGATCACTTCCCCAAGATTCCCTGTCTTCCAAGACTCTCGTACTAACCTCTCAAGTTTAGGAACTCAATATACAGAGTTAAAATTCTGATCTTTCTTCATAACCAACAAAGAAAACTGTTCCATATTAGCTTGCCATTAGCTTGCCATCCCTTTGTTCAAGACTGGATTATTTGGTCACAATCTGGAATCAATGTTCAGATAGTTGATGCCATAACTTTTTTAAAAGAGCTGTAGTTACAAGCTTGTTCTACTTGGGGCAATAAGATTACATCAATCATTCACCGAGTGAGTACAGCACTTAATGCTCCAGTCAATCAGTTTTAACAGGCAGCTGATTGATACATTCGTAAGTCTGAAATTCTTCAGGAATTTGGTTGTATCCAAATAAAACAAAAATGCAGGAGTCAGGGGCAACTCACCTTTGTTTAGTTTGTTCACCAGCTGTTGCTGAACTCCAAGGGCCTCATGAAACGAAGGGATACTTCTGACCTAACTGCACTTTACAGCTTTGTACAAGCTCTGTACCTGTGACATTTACAATCCTTTGTATTTGATGCGTCAATGGCACAAAATCCACAATTTAAAAAAAACTTTTCCAACATGAAACCTCCTAAATAATCTAATACAAGCTTCAATCATACAGCAGCATGAGATAGAGATGATTATTATAATAACTAATGGGTTCTAAGCATGCACTAGTCCCAAAAGGAACGACTTTGTGTCATACAGAACCTTACTCGACCCATGTAACATGGAATTGTGCTTTGAAAATTCAAAGTTGTACAACTACACAAGGTCTGAAGACAGATGCCGATTTATTGATGACCCCTACTTTTGTGAAAGAAAAAAATAAACAAATATGAAGGCATCAAGTTATCAGCTCAGAAATATAAGTTCTAAATGAATGCTGAAGCAAGTGAAGATTACAGTATAGACAGAATCATCTGCAGAAGGTATGGATTTCAGATTGTGAATGTGCACACGATATTTATCTAATGGCACTTAATCTACTGATACGAGGGTGGAACATACAGAATAAGGTTAATAATGGGAAAGTATATGGATTGGGATTGGGACGCAATCTTGTACAAGGCTCTGCCACGTACTATAATCCACATTATCCTACCAGAGAGGTGCATTGGTTATTAGCACTACCCAATTGTTATAATACATTTGTCACCTGTGCTGTAAAGCAACCAACTGACCAATTTATGTAATTGTGTCAGTGGCCTTTATTAATATTCAGTTTCAGTAGATTTAATCAGTCACAGTAACAGATTATTCATTATTGAAATTTCGGAGCACAGCAGGATCCAGGAAAAGCAATCAATGAAGCACAGCAAATCTCCACACTCAGTTCACCTTCAATGTTGGAACATGTTTCAGGGCTCTTGCACTACTTGTAAATAGAATTGGATGAACTTAAATAAGGTTACATTAACAATTCCTGCAGCAATTCAGGACATCTGGAATGTGACACACAGCAGGACCCTCACAGATTAGATCATACTGCAACTCAAAGCAATCTACAATCTTCTTCCCACCTTAGAAGCAAAGCTCTTCTCAGCTAAGCATTAGTTGAACAGTGTAGTTTTTTTGGCTTGAAGCTTTTACTATGAAGGTACACTAGAAAAGAATCCAATAGTTTTGATTCCTGAAAATGAAAATGGTATTGCACTCTGCAGTAGGAACAAGACCTCCAACAGGACTGACACACCCACATTCAGGATCATTTCATGCAGTAATATTCAGGATCTGCCAGGACAAAGTTTTTTTAATAAGCAATATCCCTTACGTGGCCTGGCCATAAACCCCATGACGACACTATACATTGGTCTTTTCACAGAAGGTCACGCGATTGTTCTTTATTAAATATCAGCAATGGTGGCAGCAGCAGCACACAGTACCATAACATCCTGCCTTTCACCTGGGGTCCACAAACCAGAATAATAAAGATAAAATTATTTGAGAAAGTGGCTTGGAAGGGTATTGAACAACTCAGGCCAGCAAAAAAGGACAATGCAGTCATCAAACTTTTACGAACCAGATCAAAATGCCATAGGCTGAACCATTGTAAATATTATTTGTATATTGGGTTTAGTACTTTGCAACCTCCGTCCACAAAACTGACAGTTAGACCTCCCAGTGTAAAGACACATCTTACAGAATTGCTTAGCGTTAATCCACNAAAAAAGTTCAATACACAATGTTCTTCTCATCAAGAGAAAGAGCCCACTCTAGGCTTTTAATGCAAGTCTGGTCATGTTCCGTTTGAATTTCCTCATCTGCTCTGTCAGCAGCTCTGGATCACAGGAAGGTTGGCAAAGTCATGCTTATCCCATATCTGGGCTACACAACAGCTCTAGGTGCACCATTGTGAGTCACTGTCTTCATGTTCTGCATATTCATGTGGCTGTTTGGTCTGTGAGCACTCACTCCCACCTCAAATACTTCATGGATGGCTTTGCGAAAACAGTGGAAATTGTAGTCTATCAAACCTGTGAACAGGGAACATGATTCACTAATAAAAGTTTACTTTTTTTGCCTTCCACTCCTGCCCCTTTTCTGCGTCACAAACTCACAATCCCAGAAGCAGGCAGCAAGTTTTGCCTAACTATACAAGCAAGTCATAAAAAGGTAAAACATTTAATTGAAATTGCTGTGAAATTTGGTGTTCATAAGGCATTTTTCTTCACTAAAAATAAGGAACATTCAATGCATTCAACATCCAATGTTAAGAAATAATTTAATGGTAAGTGGAGCTACCATTCTCTTTAAAGTTCTGAATTATAAGACCACATACTGTGTTGCAAGACTTGCAGAGATCTCAAGCAAGAAATTCAAACAAGACTCAGACAGTATTGACCCCAGTTGTGAGCATATTTGAAGTTCAAGAATTAAATTTCTCTAACATTGAAATACCAGACAAGTTCCTGGCAGTTAAGTTTCCCGATTGATCAGTTTTCTTGGCAAGACTACAAATGGACATGACACAGATCAGGTCCTTCTTCCGTCATTTTACATCACCAGCTGAAGCATTCCATTGGAACCCACATTAAGCATGTTCACATTTTGGGCCGAATGGTCTCCTTTTGTGCTGTATAATCCAATGATTCTATGACTTTCCAATTACTCAGCAATGAGGCCTGTGTAAAATTTGCATTAAAAGCCTATCTAAACGTCTAGACACATAAATGCAAACCAAATTGTTCAAGAAATTCTCGGCTGACAAGTGAGCCCATCAATCACAAGTCAAAAATGGTTCTATTTTGTTTTTCATCACAGAAGCTGCTGGAACACATGCTATTGGCTGCACTGTTCACTGTGACAACCATGTCAATCATTATCCTCCTAGACTATCATATTCACTGAAGGAATATTAAAGGCTATGGAGAGCAAGCCGAATAGTGGGAATAGATTAGGAAGTTCATATGGAGAAAAACTGCAAGGCTGACTAAATTGATCGAATGGCCTTTTTCTGTGCTGTAACATTTTGTGATACAAATAATAGACAACCATTCTTAGGATAGACACTGAGAATTGGCAGTTTTGTTTGCAGGAACATATTTTGCCTAATTTCTCAAACTGGTTGGTGATCCTGAATTTCTATGTTTATCCATTATTATTGATCATATTTTTACTATTTGAACCACTTCTGAAAATCACTCACTGGCTTGAAGCTCTTTAACTGCAAATTGTGCAAAAACTGAGAAAATAGATTAATCATTCAGGTTGAACTCATCTTTGTATGAACAATCAGAGCGCTAAAAGCATGAAAGTTTATCTGAACTTCTAGCCACACAAATCCAACGCTCTGAGACTCTGGCTCGCATGAAGGACACTATATAAATGCAAGCTGTCGTTGATGGGAATCTCCAACCCTCAGTGAGTCTTACCGTACGTTACCTTTTCGTTCGAAGCTCTCCTCTCTCAGAATGCACACAAGAGCAAGAAACCTGGTCACTTCCTTTAGATACAAGACAGTTGTGTTGTTAAGTTTGATAATCGCCATAGACTCTTTATCATAAGCACTTCCAGTTCCATCTTCTTTAAGTCTGAAAGGTAAATCGTTTATCAGATATGCATATGCGTAAAATTAATAATGTACAATTATTCAATTTTTTAGCCTGTGCATCACCCTGGCTCAGTTGGTAGCACTCACGTTTCTGAGGCAAAAGATTGTGGGTTCAAGCCCCACATTGGGACTTGAAACTCATATAGTCTAAGCTGACGCTTCCCTGCAGTGCTGGGCTGGAGCTGGGCGGGGATGGGCTAGAGTTGGGGTTGGGACTGGGCTGGGGTCTGGAACTGGCCTGGGGGTGGAGGCTGGGGCTGGGACTGGAGCTGGGCTGGGGATGGGGCTGGGGTTGGGCTGTGGTGGGGGCTGGCCTGGGTCTGGGGTTGGGCTGGGGCTGGGCTGGGGTTGGGCTGGGCTAGGGCAAGGGTTGGGCTGGGTTTGGGCTGGGGGTTGGGCGGGGGCTGGGGCTGCGGCTGGGGTGGGGTTGGGCTGGGGGCTGGGCTAAGGGTTGGGCTTGGGCTGGGCTGGGGGCTGGGCTAGGGCTGGGGGCTGGGGTAAGGGTTGGGCTGGGGGTTGGGCTGGGGCTGGGCTGGGGTTGAGCTGGGGGCTGGGCTGGGGCTAGGCTGGTGTTGGGCTGGGGGTTGGGCTGGGGGTTGGGCTGGGGCTGGGCTGAGGGCTTGGGTTGGGCTGGTGTTGGGCTGGTGATGGGGTTGGGCTGGGGGTTGGGCTGGGGGCTGGGGTTGGGCTGGTGTTGGGCTAGGGTTTGGGCTGGGGTTGAGATGCGAGTTGGGCTGGGGGCTGGGCTGGGGCTGGTGGTTGGGCTGGGCTGGTGGCTGGGTTGGGGGCAGGCTTGGGGTTGAGCTGGGGGCTAGGGTTGGGGGCTGGTGTTGGGCTGCGGTTGGGCTGGGGGCTGGGCTGGGATGGGGGTTGGGCTGAGAGCTGGTGTTGGGGGCTGGAGTTGGGCTGGGGTCTGGGGTTGGGCTGGCGTTGGGCTGGGGGTTGGACTGGGCTGGGGGTTGGGCTGATGTTGGGCTGGAGGTTGGGCTGGGGTTGGGCTGGGCTTTTGGGCTGGTGTTGGGGCTGGTGTTGGGGTTGGGCTGGTGTTGGGGCTGGGGGTTGGGCTGGGGGTTGGGCTGGGGGCTGGGCTGGGGTTTGGGCTGGGGACTGGCAGCTGGGGTTGGGCTGGGGTTGGGCTGGGGGCTGGTGTTGGGCTGGGGGCTGGTGTTGGGCTGGGGGCTGGTGTTGGGGTTGGGCTGGGGGCTGTGGGTTTTGCTGGTGTTGGGCTGGGGTTGGACTGGGGGCTGGGCTGGGGCTGGTGGTTGGCCAGGGCTGGGGGTTGGCCTGGTGTTGGGCTGGGGTTGGGCTGGGGTTGGGCTGCGGTTTGGCCTGGCGGTTGGCCTGGGGGCTGGGTTGGGGGCAGGGCTGGTGTTGTGGTTTGGGCTGGTGTTGGGCTGGTGTTGGGCTGGGGGCTGGTGTTGGGTTGGGCTTGGGCTGGACTAAGGGTTGGGCTGGGGCTGGGGTTAGGCTGGGTTTGGACTGGGGTTGGGCTGGGGGTTGGGCTGGGGGTTGGGCTGGGGTTAGGGTTGGGCTGGGTTTGGACTGGGGTTGGGCTGGGGCTGGGCTGGGGGCTGGGCTGGTGTTGGGCTGGCCTGGGGCTGGGCTGGGAGCTGGGGGTTGGGCTGGGGAAGGGCTGGGTGCTGGGGTTGGGCTGGTGTTGGGCTGGGGGTTGGGGTTGGGGTGGGGGTTGGGCTGGGGCTGGGGGCAGGGCTGGGGGCAGGGCTGGGGGCTGGGTTTGGGGGCTGAGGTTGAGCTGGGGGCTGGGTTGGGATTGAGCCGGGGGCTAGGGTTGCGGGCTGGGGTTGGGCTGGGGCCTGGACTGGGGCTTGGGGCTGTGGGTTGTGCTGGGGTTGGGCTGGGGAATGGGTTTGGTGTTCAGCTGGTGTTGGGCTGGGGTTGGGCTGGGGACTGGTGTTGGGGGCTAGAGTTGGACTGGGGGCTGGGCTGGAGTCTGGGCTGGGGTCTGAGTTTGGGCTGGGTTGGGCTGGGGTTGGCTGGGGTTGGGCTCGAGGTTGGGTTTGGGGCAGGGCTGGGGCTGGGCTGGCTGGGCTGGGGCTGGGCTGGGGTTGAGCTGGGGTCTGGGCCTGGGCTGGGGTTGGGCTGGGGGTTGGGCTGGGGGTTGGGCTGGGGGTTGGGCTGGGGGTTGGGCTGGGGTTGGGATGCGAGTTGGGCTGGGGATTGGGCTGGGGCTTGTGGCTGGGCTGGTGGCTGGGCTAAGTGTTGGGCTGGGGTTAGGGTTAGGCTGGGTTTGGACTGGGGTTGGGCTGGGGTTTGGGCTGGGGTTGAGCTGGGGGCTGGGCTGGGGGCTGGGGTTAGGGTTGGGCTGGGTTTGGACTGGGGTTGGGCTGGGCTGGGCTGGGTTGAGCTGGGGCTAGGCTGGTGTTGCGCTGGGGGTTGGGCTGGTGTTGGGCTGGCTGGGGGCTGGGCTGGGTGCTGGGTTGGGCTGGTTTTGTGCTGGTCTTGGGCTGGGGGCTGGGGTTTGGCTGGGCTGGAGGTTGGGCTGGGGTTCGGGTGG